GTTCATATGGTCTAATGTGCCATATAAGATCACTGTTTCCTGGTTGATTTTCTGTCTGGAAGATCTATTCATTGATGTCAATGGGGTGTTAAAGGCCTCTACTATGACTATATTACTGTTGATATTCCTTTTTTTTTTCTATATTTGCTTCCTATATTGGGATCAGAGATGTTTATGAAATATCCTTTTGCCTGATTGATCCATTTTTCATTATGAAATACTGTTGTCTCTTGTTCCAGTCTTTGTTCTAAAAAGTCTATTTGTCTGATATGAGTATTCTTCCCCCAGCTCTTTTGCTTGTTTGTTTCTATTTGCATGAAATATCTTTTTCCATACTTTTATTTTTAGCCGGCGTGACTTTCCATCTGAAGTGGGTCTCTTATAGGTAGCATATGTATGGTTTTCTGTGTTTTTTAAAATCCATTTAACAACCTTATGTCTTTTTTATTGGAGCATTTAGTCTATTTACATTTAAAGTAATTATTGACAGGTATGTAATTATTGCCTTTTTATTAGTTGTTTACTGATTTAAAATTTTTTTTATCTTCACCTGGGGATATTTTTTCCATTGATTTTTAGTGAAAGTGGAAGGGAGAGGGAGAGACAGAAACACTGATGTGAAAGAGACACATCGATTGGTTGCCCTGAGTCAGGACCAGAAGACAGCAACCAAAGAACATGCCTTGACCGAAATCGAACCTGGAACCCTTCAGTCCGCAGGCTGACGCTCTATCCACTGAGCCAAATCGGCTAGGGCTACTGATTGTTTTTGTAGTTCTTCTCTGTTCCTTTCTTGTTCTTTTGCTCTTTTCTGTGTTGATGATTTTCTGTAGTGTTGTGTGTGTATTTTTATTCCTGTCTCTTTATTTCTTGTAGACTTTTGGCTTATGGTTACCACGTACTTCATTATACCAAGCTATATTTATAACAGCCTATTGTAAGTTGACAGTTGCTTAAGTTCAAACACATCCTAAAACCACTATAATTTCTACATCCCCACACACATTTATGTTTTTGTCATTTTTTACTTCTGTGTGTTTGTATTCCTTAATTTATTGTTGTAATTCCACATGATCTTCCTACATTTGCCTTTTAATTTTCTTACTAGCTTTATAGTTGGTTCTGCTATAAATACTCTGTTCATTTTTGTCAGTGAGAATTGTTCTTATATTTTCTAATTCACATTTTTTATCGTTTCTTTTTAAAGAAGTTCCTTCAACATTTCTGGTAATACTGGTTTGGCGGTGATGAACTCCTTTAGCTTTTACTTATCTAGACAAATCTTTATCTGTTCTTTGATTATAGATCAGCGGTCGCCAACCTTTCGGACCTCACGGACTACCAGGGGTCCACAGACCACTGGTTGGCAACCACTGTTATAGATGATTGCCTTGCTGGTAGAGGAATCTTGTTTGTATGTCTTTGCTTTTCATCACTTTGAATACTTCGTGCCAATCCATTTTGGCCTTCAGTGTTTCTGTTGAGCAATCAGCTTATAGCCTTATGGGAACTCCTATGTGTGTAACTACCTGCTTTTCTCTTGCGTTTGAGATTCTCTCTTTGTCTTTTAACTTTTGGCATTTTAATTATGATGTGTCTTGATGTGGGCCTCTTCAAGTTCATTTTGTTTGGAATTCTGCACTTCCTAGACTAATATATCTATTTCCTTTGCCAGGTTAGGGATATTTTCAATCATTTCTTTCAATAAGTTTTTGTCCCTTTTTCTCTCATTTAGTTTCTGGGATCCCTGTGATGCAAATGTTGATACTCTTTTTTAAAAAAATATATTTTTATTGATTTCAGAGAGGAAAGGAGAGAGATAGAAACCTCAGTGATGAGAGAGAATCATTGATTGGCTGCCTCCTGAATGCTCCCCAGGGGATCAAGTCTGCAATCAGGGCACTTGCCCTGACTGGGAATCGAACCATGACCTCCTGGTTCATAGGTCAACCAGCGCTCAACCACTGAGCCACGCTGGTCAGGCAATGTTGTCCCAGAGGTCCCTTAAACTATCCTCATTTTTAAAAATTCTTTTTTCTTTATGCTACCTTGTGTCCCAGAGAACTGATTCGATCTTTTACTTCATTCAATCTGCTGTTGAGTTCCTCTAGTGAATTTTTCATTTCATTTATTTTAAGTTAGTCCTCGCCTGAGGATTCCCCCCCCCCCCCATTAATTTCTAGAGAGAGTAGAAGGAAGGGGGAGAGACACAGAGAGAGGAACATTGATGTGAGATCAATTGGTTGCCTGCACATACCCTGACCAGGGCTGGGGATTGAGCCTGACCCTTCAGTCTGTGGGCTGATGCTCTAACCACTGAGCAACCTGCCATGGCTCATTTCAGTTATTCTATCCTTCACTTCTGATTGGTTCTTTTTAATATTCTAGATCTCTTTGTTGAAGTCTCCCTGAGTTCACCTATTATCCTGAGTTCATTGAGCATCTTTATTACCTACCAAGTAGAGGCCCAAGAGTAGGCCTTCCTTCCCCTGGCTGCCGGCACCAGCTTCCCTCTGGCACCCACGACCTATGCTTCCCTCTGGCCACTGGCAGACACCCAGGACCTGGGCTTTACTCTGGTCCCGGCTTCATCTGGAAGGACATCCGGAATGGCATCTAGTCTAATTAGCATATTTATTACCCTTTTATTATTATAGATGTTTTGAATTATTTATGTTAGATTGCTTTAGTTCTTTTGATGGCATTTCTTTGTCTCTTCAGTTTGGCTGACTCTCTGTTTGTTTGTGTATGTATTGGATAGATCTCACTACATCTCCTAGTCTTGAAAGAGCGGCTTTTATAGAAGGTGCTCTGTGGGGCCAGAGCACAATTCTCCCTGGTCACCGGAGCCAGGTGCTCCAGGGGTGTTCCCTCTGTAGGTTGTGTGTGCCTTCCTGTTGCAGTTGAACCTCGATTGTTGCTAGCACGTCTGTGGGAAGGATTGACCCTTGGGCTAACTGGCTGTAAGGGCCTGCTTTGACTACAGTGGACAAGCTGTTGTGCAGAGACTCACCCCAGGGAGCAATGCTCTGGTGCCAGGCCAAACTACCTATCGGGTGTGTCGGTTGTGAAGCTGCTTGGAAGGGGCTCGGTGCTTGTACATTTCAGCAGTGTTTTTGTGCTGGGCTTGGAGGCCCTTGGGAGAGGCTAAGATGCTGGCTACGGTTGGCTGCCACCTTTCCGGGCTTGTAACTGATTGGTGGGATCCATGTTGCAAGCCAAGCCTGGCCGTCACTTGTGCCAGGCTTGGGGCCACTTGGAAGGAGCTACAGTGCAGGCTGAGGCTGCTTGCTACTTATGGGATTGGTGGACCTTTGGCAGAGCCTGGAGGGCAAGCCCAGGGAGGCTGCTTTGGAAGAGGCTCCGGCTAGGCAAGTAGGTTGAATGGGGTAATGTGTCGGGAAGATGCCAGGGCAGGTGGTTTGTGTTAGCCAGGCTAATGAAGAGTGGCATATTGTGTACTTGCCCATGCCAGGCCAGCTGGGGGTGAGGAGAGCTGAACAAAGGAACAGTAGTGCTTGCCAGCACTTCCATCCCCTCAGAGGATTCTCCCAGTTCCTGCTCCTCCAGCACATTCCCTAAAGTGAGTCAGTTGAGTTCCTCCCCCTTATGATCCAGGTGCTTCTCAGGCTGCTGCCTCTGTACTGGAGCTTGGAGCAAGTTTGTACTCAAGCCCTTTAAGAGCAGCATCTCAGCCTCCCATATCCCTTTGTCTTTCTGGGGCACAATCCCCGCTGGTTCTCAAAACCTGATGTTATGGGTATTCTTTCTGGCTCAGGTACCCTGGGCAGGGGAGCCAGGGGTGAGGCTTGGACCCCTCACTCCAGAGGGGACCTCCATAACCTAGCTATCCTCCCTTTTTAATAATCCCTACACTATGGATGTGGGAGCTCCCCAGTCTGCATCTCCACCCTTCCTACTTGTCTTGATGTGTATATCCTCTGTTTATCCTTTCTTATATCCTCTGTTTTCAGAATTCTGTTCAGCTAGTCTTTAGGTCAGCAGTCACCAACTGGTGGTCTGCGAGGTCCGAAAGGTTGGCAGCTGCTGCTTTAGGTGATTCTCAGTGATGGTTGTTCTGTAATTTAGTTGTAATTTTCATATGTTCATGGGAGATGGTGAGTTCAGGATTTACCTACTCTGCAATCTTTTTTTTTTTTTTTACATTGATTTTTAGAGAGAAATGAAGGAGGGGAGAGACAGACAGAAAGACATCAGTTTGTTGTTCGTGTTATGTATGCATTTATTGGTTCTTCTTGTTTGTGCCCTGACTGGAGATTGAACCTGCAACCTTGGTGTATCAGGACAGTGCTCTGATAAGTGAGCTACCAGGCCAGGGCCCGTGCTCTGCCATATTGACTTTGCCCTTGCGTTGACTTTGCCCCTTGCCATTGGAGTTTTGATAGAGGTTGCATTGAATATGTAGGTTGTTTTTGTAGTGTGGACATACAATATTAGTTCTTCCAATCCGTGAGTATAGAAGATCTTTCCATTTATTTGTGTCTTGAGTTTCTTTCATCATTATCTTATAGTTTTCAGTATTCAGGTCTTTGACCTCCTTGGTTAAATTTGTTCCTTACTTAAATGGGATTGTTTTCTTAATTGTTTTTATGAAACTTCATAACTGAAGACTTCTTTCAGGAAGAAAATACAACTAGTAGGTAATAGGTTTAAATACTGAAAGCATAATGGATTACCAAAGGAAACTGGGAACCCTGAGGGTCATCTTTAGTCCTTGGGGTCAACATCATAGCTTCCCTAACACATCCTATATTGTCCTCAGAACAGATCCTGAGTTTACACAATAGACTAGTTGTTTTGTTTTATATTTGTAAATGGGTTTATGCAGAGGGTGATTTAACAAAAAGGCATTTGTAGTTTCCTAATCAGGTTGGAGACTATTTCCTACTGTCTTTAAGGTTATGCTACCTTATTTGTACACAGGTTAAAATAGAACAGTAATAGTTCTTGTGTTCTGTTTTCTGTTGTTTTTTTTACAGGTTGCAGAACTTCTATTTCAAACTGCCAAAAATGCGGGGATCAATTTTGACACTGTCTGTGGAGTCCCTTACACAGCTTTACCATTGGCTACAGTTTTCTGTTCAACTAACCAAATCCCAATGCTCATTAGAAGAAAAGAAACAAAGGATTACGGTAACCTCATACTGCTAGAATTTTTTCTTCTTCTAGGCACTGCTGTTACACCATAGGTCCTTTAAGTTGTTATGGCAACTGTTGCTATAAATCACCTTCCTTTCCTTTAGAGCAGTGGTTCTCAACCTTCCTAATGCCGCAACTCTTTAATACAGTTCGACATGTTGTGGTGACCCCCAATTTCATTGTTACAAATGGAACATAATTAAAGCATAGTGATTAATCACAAAAACAATATGTAATTATATATGTGTTTTCTGATGGTCTTAGGCGACCCCTGTGAAAGGGTCGTTCGACCCCCCAAAGGGGTCGCGACCCACAGGTTGAGAACCGCTGCTTTAGAGTCTAGAGGTAAAATGGCAACGAAAAACATTGGGGTTTTTTTGTTTGTTTGTTTGTTTGTTTTTTGCACTATATCTGTGAGATCCAACATTTTTACCAGCCCTCTCTTGTCAGCAGTGTGTTCTAAGAGTACTTTCCCAGTATATTAATATTTAAATTACATGAAGAAATATACATAAATAAAATTACTCAAAGCAATATAAATGCCACATGAAGTTCTTAATGAAGATACTTTTTTATGGGTAATAAATTATTAGGTGGATGTTTTAAATATGTGGGCTTGCTTTAAAACCAAATTAACCTAAAAATATTGGAATTTCATATTTTATTTCTTTAAAAAATATATATTTTTATTGATTTCAGAAAGGGAGAGGGAGATTGAAACATCAATGATGAGAGATCATTGATCAACTGCCTCCTATATGTCCCCTACTGGGGATCGAGCCCGCAGCCCAGGCATGTGTCCTTGATGGGGATCGGATCCAGGACCCTTCAGTCTGCAGGCCGACACTCTATGCACTGAGCCAAACCAGTTAGGGTCATTTTTTATATTAAGGAAGCAATGGGTTTTGCTTTGTGTTGATGTGATAGTATTTCTGTTATTTTTTTTTAAAGAATCCTTTTATAGATGCATTCTAAAAATTTTTATAATGAAATTATGATTTCTGAGAGTTGCTTCTGAAAACTATTGGGGGGAGAAAGGGAGAAGGGATAGAGCTGAAACAAAATTGACCAGGAGTTGTTAAGTGGAAATGCTGTATTTATTGGTGTTTTGTTAAACTAGTTTGGCTACTTTTGTTTGACATTGTCTACTTAAAAAATAGTAAGAATATATGTTGCTTGAAGGCACACTGTTTGTCTGTATGAATCTTTGCCCACAAGGAAGCTATTATTTCTATTTCCTTATGATTTTTCTTCAAAAAATATTTCTGAGAATAAGATTGTTAATTTTTAAATATGCCTATAAATACTCACAGTCTTGCGTTCTAGTCCAAGCTGACTCAGTGAAAGTTGCCAATTCTTCAATAGGAAAGGAATGGGAAAAAGGCAAAGATGGTATCTGTGGTAAAGCTCAAAAAGTGGGCAAAATGGTCACCAATTCTATTTCTGTTTCAAAATTAGACAATTTTGGTAGTGGGAAACAGAAAAATTAGTCTGAAAAGTCTTCAGCCTGAGTTATTTACATTTTGTAGATTGTCTGAAAAGAATCTATCTTGGAGTTGGAATGGCAAAGTATATTTAGTCACATTGCATTATATAATTTATAAAGTTGTAATGCTTGGTCTAAATGGTTGCTGAGTATTTTCTCTCCTGAATCTATATATGCAAAGGCCAATTTTCTGGCTGATCTTGAGTTATGAACTGGTTTGTTGATGGAAAAAGGAATGATTTCATTGAGAATATTGTGTTATTCTTTGTTTCATCACTTTCCTTGATCTAGGTTATGTTGCTTTAAGAAAACCCCATATTTGAAACTTTGATTATAAACATGTTAAGAGTTTTTATTTACAATCCAAAATAATTTGCTAGTTTTACTGTAAATATTCTGTATCTGTAACTGACAATTTTGGGATACTACACATTGGATAAACCAGTAATTATGAAACATTGAAGATTCATCAAAAATAAAATGGTTCCAAAGTAGTTTTTCAGAAAATAAGATTTAGATTATCCACCTCTTCATAAATACATGCAGATTTATTTTGTAAGATACATCTTGAGTTGATGAAATATTAAATTGGAATCAATGTAATTCTTTCTTGTCCAGGTACTAAACGTCTTGTAGAAGGGACTATTAATCCAGGAGAAAACTGTTTGATCATTGAAGATGTCGTTACCAGTGGATCTAGTGTTTTGGAAACTGTTGAGGTTCTTCAGAAGGAGGGCTTGAAGGTCACGGATGTCATCGTGCTGCTGGACAGAGAGCAAGGAGGCAAGGATAAGCTGCAGGCACATGGGCTTCATCTCCACTCAGTGTGTACATTGTCCAAAGTGCTGGAGATTCTTGAGCAACAGAAAAAAATTGATGCTGAGATGGTTGAGAGAGTGAAGAAATTTATTCAAGAGAATGTTTTTGTGGCAGCTGGTCAGAATGGTTCTCTCCCGTCTATAAAGAAAGCACCCGAAGAACTCAGCTTTGGTGCACGTGCAGAGCTGCCCGGGATCCACCCAGTTGCATCCAAGTTGCTCAGGCTTATGCAAAAAAAGGAGACCAATCTGTGTCTGTCTGCTGACATTTCGGAGTCCAGAGAGCTGTTGCAGCTAGCGGATGCGTTAGGACCCAGCATCTGCATGCTCAAGACTCACGTAGATATTTTGAATGATTTTACTCTGGATGTGATGAAGGAGTTAACAGCTCTGGCAAAACACCATGAGTTCTTAATATTTGAAGACCGGAAATTTGCGGACATAGGAAACACAGTAAAAAAGCAGTATGAAGGTAAGTATTATTCAGGGATCTGCAGGAATCAGAAATCCAGCTTAAACTAGCTGAAGCAAAAAGGGAAATGTGTTGGCTCACATCACTGAAAGTCCATCCATAGAACAGGCTGACAAGCATGGTTGGGTCCAGGAGCTCAAGTGATGTTTTTTGGACTTGCTTTCTCTTCTATTAGCTCTGCCTTCTTCCTTCTTTCTTCTCAGGTAGGCCCAGTCCTCATGCCTACCCCAATTCAGTCACTGGGTATAGAATAGCTAAAGATATAGCTAACGCCTGTATAATATGCCCCACCCCTGGTAGGTAATGTGAGGTTTAACTCTGTATAAACTTCTTAAACCAAGATCTGGAAAAGGGTAGTTCCACTTAAAAAAAAAAAAAGGTGTGCTGCTGCCAGAAGACAGGAACATAGGGTCTAGGCCGGCAAAAATGGCAGAGGTTGGTTTGGGCATGGCAAAACACAGTGAATTCTGTTATGTGAAGAATGGAAATTGCAGCTATGAGAAATAATGAAAAAGTATAAAGTTGTAAAATTTATTTTTAGCAGAACAAGTTTTATTGATGATACACATTCTTTTAAAAAATACTTTGTTAAACTCAAAACAGCATATGTTGGTTGAAAAAAATAGCTTAATTCTCTACCTATCCTATGTAAATTTCTGCCAGTGTACATATCTAATGCTTTTTCTTCACTTAACCTTATATTTATCATGTTATTAACATTTATAGACATCTTTTGAGATTTTTTTTTAAGTGATGCATGCTTTTACTAAAGCTGTTTCTTTGGGATAGATTTGTCTACAAGCATATTTTATTTTTATGTGCCTCACATGTCCTCTTTAGTTTGTTGACTGATATAAGAGTTATACAAATTTTCTACAGGTTTACATAGAGTCTTTTAAAAAATCAATTAGGGTTATTGCTGGTTGCATTTTAAATGAAAATAATTGCTTATTGATATTTGAAGACCAAAGGAGACCTTAGGAACAAGTAGAAGATTTGAGAAATGGTAAAGTTGCTATGAGATCCCTGCAGAATGAAAATCTGTCATCTTCGGAGGAATTTCCAAATGTTGATATCTTTGACCTTCATAAACACCCATCTTCACTGGGGTTTATTTCTAATTGCATAAGTTTTATTGGTCACAGCTTCAGCCTGCAAGGAATAACAGTTTAGTGTTGCTTGTAAACTAAGTACAGAACTTGCAATAATTTTCTCATTGTGATCTCTCAACTAGCTACTAGGTGGATAAATTTTTCACACGTAGAACCATACATAAGTCCACTGAAATACTAAAATTCTTGAAGTGTTTCACTATTTCATTAACATGTTACTAAGACATTATTTCATACTCTACTTGTTTGGGCCAAAAGTTAAAGGCTTTTGTGTGAAATTTAAGAAATATCTTTTTGCCTCTTTCTTAGGTGGTGTCTTTAAAATAGCTTCCTGGGCAGATGTAGTCAATGCTCATGTGGTGCCAGGCTCAGGAGTTGTGAAAGGCCTGCAAGAAGTTGGCCTGTCTCTGCACCGGGGGTGCCTGCTCATTGCGGAAATGAGCTCCGCCGGCTCCTTGGCCACTGGGAACTACACTAAAGCAGCGGTAAGTGACGGAGGGACTGGGCTGTAAAGCACATGTTCTAGAGGAGGAAGATATCTTCTTTTTCGGTCTCTGAAACTGCTAAAAAAAAGCTGCTGTTAATGTGACAGTATATTAATACTCATTGGCTAGAATTCTCTGGTAGTTAATAGCATTTTATATCTTGTGGTGAACACTTAAGAGATTTGAATTGTACACCCAAGAGAGAAACATTGGAACAAATATTTGGTCAGATAAATATTTGCCACGCTTACCTGACCTTTAAGATAGAGTTGTTGTTTTTTATCTCAACATGAGTTGAAATTGAAGAGCTGCTTCCCAGGTATGCAGTGTCTCAGAACCTCCCAAATCCCACAGAGATGCATTCTCAGGACAGCAGCCCACATGTTGTTTGTTTGTTTAGTCTTCGATGTTGATTGGTATTGTATGGTAAAGCTCTTAACTAGAGCCCATACACATTGTTTCCTCCAGTAACTCCCCATTAGTAAAAGTTTTTATAACACTGCACTTAATATCCCAGTACCCACCCTTACATTCCAGAATAAAATGAGAGGATAATTAACTAGTTAAAAAGTTTCATAGTTGGGTAGATCACCTTTACAGATATTTTGTTATTTCAAATACTCTCTTTGGAACTGAAGAACTCACATGGCCCTAGGACCAGGTTTTAACCCCACACCTGAACTGTGTCCATAAACAACTGATTTCCCAATTATCACAACAGAGGGGTCCATGGGTCATTCTGGGGATCTGGGTCTGGTCAAGGACAAGATATCACTTTCTGGTAGGTGGTAGTACTGGTGGCAAGAACAGAACAGTGTAAGTCTCAGGGAAGAGCCAAATGAGGAAGTCAGACCTTCTAGAGAAACTTCTATGAATGTGGGGTAATGATATAGAAATTGTGGAGACCAATTATTAGCAAATATTAAAGAAGAGGGAAAGCAGTAGAGTTGAGATTTCTTTAGCTCTTGACAACATAGCTATCCTTGAATATGGAGCACCCTGTGTAGGTAGGCAGTAAGTCTTCTATGTAGTTTTATACCGTTTAGAAATTATTCTAGAGTACTTTCCTCATATCCTTTATGGAAGTAGGTGGGTCCCCAAGCATTATTAAAAGTAAGTAATGATGCAGCATCTAGATTCTAGACCACCATAGTTATAGAGGATTTACTATAGTATAGTATGGACACTGTGTTTTTAGGGTCTGGTTAATTGGGAGAAAGGGAGAGACGGTTATTGGAGCAAGTATGCAGATTCATAGCTAAGATTACCTGTGTTAGATATAATAAATTTAATATGAAATGAGGAAAGACATCCATAAAATAGCAGTTTCTTACTAGTTAATACAGCCAGTTTTTTACTTGTAGAATTATTATTTTGTGTGGTTAACTGCTTTCTTGTAATCTGTCCTATTACATTCCATTTAGGTTAGAATGGCTGAGGAGCATTCTGAATTTGTGTTTGGTTTTATTTCTGGCTCCCGAGTAAGCATGAAACCAGAATTTCTTCACTTGACTCCTGGAGTTCAGTTAGAAGCAGGAGGTAAGTCTGTTCATTGGTCATGTTTCTTCCAAAATGCTTCTTTACCCAAGTCCGCAAAGGCTAAATGAAATTTTGTTGTTGTTATAAAGTTGCTAAAGAGAAAGCTTGTTTGTCTAGAACAGTAATGAATGAGCCCTTTGGCCTGGGGATACTGACTTAGGTATGCAAAGTAGCTTGCAGTCTAATTTTAGGGTGAAAATTTAGAAAAATACTTTTCATTAGAATGTAGCAGATATTTTAGTTGTGTTTTCCAACTGATGTTCTAAATGTGCTGCCAAAGAAGGTGCTCTGTGCTCCAGTGCCCCGACCCGCGGGGCATGCAACGTGGGTACCATGACGATTCCTGTAAGGGAATGAGAGGATAGGAGACGTGAAGAAATGGAGGCAAGACAGGATTCTGATCAAGCCTCAAATTTTATTTTTAAGCGGCAGAATATATTACCAGCAAGCAGGTTCCGGAATGTAGCGGTTGTTGTTTCAGGGTATAGGATGGTTATCTTTAGCTGCTGGCCAAATCGCAGGACACAGGTGGTGTCTGGTAATTAGGAGTTTCTAGAGGAACCAGAAACTTATTGTTCTTAAGATGGCTTTGTCTAGGCCAATATCTCTAATGGCTCCCAACACTCCAGGAAGAATATGCTAGGCTAAACAGAAGCAACAGTTTGATACTTTGTTCGAGGACCTTTCAGAGCCTTAGATGTGCTAATGTCTGTTGTGACTCCAGAGTGGAATAGGGATCTGTCCTGTTTCCCATGCTTGTTTGAACCTGTAGCACTTTAGCAGTCTGAAAAGTACAGTTGTAGGGGCTGAAAAACTGCACATTTTCTCACTGATAGTCTCTAAACAATAGTAATCTAGGTCAGGGGTCCTCAAACTTTTTATTTTTTTAAAATATTTTATTGATTTTTTACAGAGAGGAAGGGAAAAGGATAGAGAGTTAGAAACATCGACCAGCTGCCTCCTGCACACTCCCCACTGGGGATGTGCCCGCAACCAAGGTACATGCCCTTCCAGTCTGCAGGCCGACGCTCTATCCACTGAGCCAAACCGGTTAGGGCTCAAACTTTTTAAACAGGGGGCCAGTTCACTGTCCCTCAGACCGTTGGAGGGCCGGACTATAGTTTAAAAAAAAACTATGAACAAATTCCTATGTACACAGCGGTGGCAAAAACACCCAGCGGGCTGGATAAATGTTTTCGGTGGCCTGCGGGCCGTAGTTTGAGGACCCCTGATCTAGGTTATAAAAATATACATATTTTAATATCCTTTGGGACTCAATAAAGCTGCTTTGGTTTTTAATGTGAAAGAAAAATGACCTGGAAAATTTTTATTTTTCCTGAATTAGCTTATCACAGGTATGGGAGTTTATTCTGTCCTACATTCCATCTCGTTGCATTTCTTATATACCAATAACAAATTATCAGCAAAAGAAATTAAGAAAGCAGTCTCGTTTTTTGTTGCATCAAAAATATAAAATACCTAGAAATAAATAAATTTAATCAAGGAGATGGAAGACCTGTACACTGAAAACTACATTAATGAAATTGAAGAAAACAAATACATAAAATATTTTCTGTGCTTGTGGATTTGAAGTATTAATGTAATTAAAATGTCCATACTACCCAAGCAATTTACAGAGTCAGTGCAATCCCTATCAAAATTCCAATGTCATTTTTCATAGAAATAGAAAAAACAATCCTAAAATTTGTGTGAAACCATATAAGACCCTGAACAGCCAAAGCAGTCTTAAGAAAGAACAACAAAGCTATAGTAATCAAAACAGTATGTTATTGGCATAAAAACAGACATATAGATGAATGGAACAGAATAGAGTTCGGAAGTAAAACAACACGTATATGGTCAATTCATTTACAAAAAAGAAGCCTAGAATATACAACAGAAAAGAAAAAAAAAAGTTTCTTCAACCTATCGGGTTTGGCTCAGTATATAGAGTGTTGGCCTGTGGACTGAAGGGTCCCGGGTTCGATTCCAGTCAAGGGCACGTACCTCAGTTACAGGCTCCTCCCCATGTGGGCCCTGGTCTGGGCTTGTGTAGGAGGCAACCAATCGATGTGTCTCTCTCACATCGATATTTCTCTCTTACCCTCTCCCATCCACGCTTTCTAAAAATCAATGGAAAAATATCGTTGGGTAGGATTTTTAAAAAAAAGTTTAAAAAATAAAAAACAGTTTCTTCAATAAAATGGGGTTGGGAAAATTGGACAGCCACATGCAAAAAAAATGAAATGGGATCACTATCTTACTCCATACACTTCAGGTGTTGAATGTAAGACCTTCAATTCCTAGAAAAAAAGTTAAGCTCCTTGACATAGGTCTCGGCAATAATTTTTTAAAATCTGACACCAAAAAGCAAAAATAAACAAGCAGGATGATATCAAACAAAAAAGCTTCTGTGCAGCAAAGGAAATTATTAACAAATGAAATGACATCCTACTGAATGAGAGAAAATATTTGTAAGTTATGTTTCTGATAAAATATTTTTAAAAATTTGTACAACTCAATAGCCAACAAATAATCTGATTTAAAGGGGGCAGATCTTCTTTGGACATTTTTCCAAAGAAGACATACAGATGGCCAACAGATACATGAAAAGATGCTCAGCATCACTAATCATCAGGGAGGTTACAAATGAAAACCACAATGAGACATCACCTCACACCTGCTAGAATGACTTACCAAAAGGCAAGAAATAACTGGTGTTGGCAAGGATGTGGGGAAAGGGGAACCCTGTGTACTGTTGGTGGGAATATATATTGGTGCAGCTACTAAGGGAAACAGTATAACAGGGTTCCTCAAAAAATTTAAAATAGAACTTCCATATGATCTAGCAATTCCACTGTGAGTATTTATCCTAAGAAAACAAAAACCTAACTTGAAAAGAGATATGTACCCCGATGTTCATTGCAGCATTGTTTACAATAGCCAAGATATGGAAACAGTCTATGTGTCTATTGATGGATAAAGAAATTTTAATTATGTATATATTTTTCAACCATATGAAAATGAAATCTTGCCATTTACAACAACATGGATATACCTTAAGGCCATTATGCTAAGTGAACTAAGTCAAACTGAGACTGACTTACAGTACAATAGCCCACAATAAGTTATTCCACTTATATGTGGAATTTAAATACAAACAAAAAATTAAATAAGCTCATTGATACAGAGAACAGGTTGGTGGGTTGCCAGAAGTAGGGGTTGAAGGGTGGAAGACATGGGTGATGGGGCTCAAAAGTTATAAGTCATGAGGATGTATTCACAGCAAGGCAACTATAGTTGATTATATTGCATTGCATGTTTGAAAGTTGCTAAATCTTGAAAGTTCTCTTCACAAAAGAAGATTTAGTAATTATGCCAGGTGATGGATGTTAAGTAGACTTACTGTGGTGATCAGTTCTCAGTGTATACAAATATTGAATCATGTTGTACACCTGAAACTAATGTTATATGTTAGTTATACCTCAATAAAAAAAAAGATATAAAAAGAATGAAAAAAACAAAATTAAGGAACAGGCTTTATACACAGGGTGGGGCAAAGATAGGCTTTTAGTTGTGAGTATGTGAAACAGAGTTTATCTTGTATTACTATAGATTATTGTATTGCATACGAACAACTGTAAACCAACTTTTGCCCCCCTGTATAGTCTGAGCACTTGATGGGGTTGCGGCAGAAAGGTTCACATATGTGGTCGTGGTCCCGTTCAGTGCCTTCTGAGGGCTTTCCCAGTGGTGTGGCATGTGATTCTGACGTGTATACTAAAAGTGCCTTCTATTGTAAGGGCTTATCCTATTTTTTTGTATTGAACCTTTCTTGGCATTGATAGGAGATTTACTTTTTCTTTTTTTTTAATACTGTTAAACTATAAGTGCTCTACAATTAGACACTGGAAAGGAGTTGCTTAGCTGCTTCACTGTGGATATCTCTAGCCTGTCCGGGGTCTCTCTTCACCTGCATTCACTTACTTGCTGTGCAGAAGGAGCATGGAAAGCCAGCGCATGGTGTCATTTAAAGATGGTTAGATACTTTTCCCAAAAAGTCACGGGGCAGGTTTTCTGATGTTCTGTATTGTGTTGAATAGTAACTTTTGTGTTTCTGCAGGTGATAATCTCGGCCAGCAGTACAATAGCCCACAAGAAATTATTGGCAAACGAGGTTCTGACATTATCATTGTGGGCCGGGGTATAATAGCATCAGCCAATCGCCTGGAAGCAGCGGAGACGTACAGAAAAGCTGCCTGGGAAGCCTATTTGAGTAGACTTGGTGTCTGAGTGTCAGATACTTTCTGTGAAGGCCTTGAAGACCCACTGTCTCCTGAGATGCATTGGCTGGATAACGCGCAGCCTTTTATACTGCCCGGATTCCTCCGTGGGTCCTGTGTTGGAGTGACTTCTAGAGTTACCCATCATGCTTAGGATCTACTGAACAGCTGTAATCACTGCATTAGTTTTCAGGCATTCTTTAGTGAGACTGGTGTTGGCGAAGCAGTCACAGTCCTGTCTGGTAAAGTCTTCCGCATTTGAGGATTCCCCCATCCACTCCCCATCTTTAGATCAGGCTTTTTGATTCTTTTAGTTGCTGTGGCACAACTAAAAGTCCTCTTTTAGGACATAAAGAGTACAGCATTTAGGACATCAGAATACAACATTTCTTGTGTTCTTTATTTTATGTCTAATGTGATGCCCATACAATATTAAAATATTAGTTCTTGTCCTCTTAAAAGTGATAGTCCAGGTATCCAAATGGTGCTGGTTCTCAGAACTGCCACTATTCACTCACCGAGGGGAGCAAGGTGGGGAAGTGGAAAGCTGACCAATGCCTGGCTTTCGTTTCAGCAGAGGGTTTCTGACTCTTCTCCCAGCAGCAGTGGCCCTGTGCTGAGATCCAGGCACAGCTTCCTTTTGGCTTGTTTGGTTACAAATGGACAAGCTGCTCCTTCACTTATGTAAAAAGGCAGCAGCGTCAGGAGGTGAGGTTACAGTTGGAGGTTTGCTTCAAAATCCTACATAATTGTCCCAACTGTCCTTGACAAGAGGGAAGTCAGACTTCACTAGAAATAAGGAAAAAGAAGCTCAGCAACAGAGCTGATATTGTCCACGTCTCGGTTTCTACCACCTTTGCTCACAGGCCCCACCGTCACACACGTGGCATCACCAGTTAGGCAGCCCTCTCAGTCACGTCCCAAAGGCACTGCAGTCAGACCTCGATTCTAAAACGTCTCACATCTCAAACACTGCCTCTCAAGCTGACAACCCTTTCGTGCTGAGCCCTGTATGATCAGTCACGTGTCTCTCAGGAGACAAAGGAGGAGACGCTCAAGAGCTTACTGCTGTTAACATCTCAGGATATTGTGCTGTGAATGTTCTGGTTTTTTGCTTTTGTTGCTGCTTATTAAATTTTCACTATTTACTGTATATTTAATTCCATTTTGTTTTCATTTACATTTCATGTTCTTTTTGTTTTTAAAGTGTTTATAGGTTAAGCGGCACATTAGACATGAATTGTATATAAGAAAAGTTAAAACGGAATCACTTGGGGCTCTGAATGGATTAATTCAATTTACATTATTTCTAATGGGAAAAATGCTCCAGTTTTTGAACAGCCTCTGGAACGAATTAAGTTTAAAATCTTAGGTTCCACTGTATTTCCCAGAAATTTTTCTGAGTTTCTGGATGATCCCCGTTCTCCAATAGGTAGATGTTCTCCATTTATATATTTCTGTGGTCTGTTCAGGAAGCATTGTGGAGGGAGGAGAGTAAAGGGTGTGAGCTCAGGTGACCATTTGGAAATGGCCCCGCTCTGCATTCAGAGCCCTGAGTGAGCGGGGCCAGGGTGGTAGCTGCATTCGAAGGCTCAGTTCTGATTCCACCAGCACCCCCACCATCAGCCTTTCCTTCTCGTCTGGACTGTTCACAGACAGCAGCGGGTGTCGGAGGACTCGGCATCTCCTCATGATGGTAGCTGCTCCCATCCCTGACAGCCCCCTCTCCTGATGACTGCTGGGAGCCTGGGGTTTCCGCTCAGCCTTTCACTGCGTTCCCTCTCAGTGTCTGCACTGAAGGGCTTCTCTAAGGCCCCGTGCTGCCTCTCCAGGGAAGTCCCCTGTGGGAAAGGCAGTTACCAAGGAAGACGGCCAGAGGAAACGGAAGGGATGTGGCCCTCAGGCTCCTCTGAAGGAACTGGATTAGGAAGAGGAAGATCTAACAAAGTCATAGGGATCAGTTAGATGTCTTCAAAGTCTTGGTGACCTGGGGCTGAGAGACCTTGGGAGTGAACTGCTGGGTGTCAAGTGGCCACCTAGTGGACTTAGGAGGTCAGTGGACATCCATCAACACACATCAGGAGTCTTGAATCATGCCGGCCCGGCCCCACGTTTCTGACTGGATAATTCTAGGACAGGGCTTGAAGCCTGGCATTCCTCACAAGTTCTTGGGCAGCGCTGCTGCTGCTGCTACAGGGACCACTCCACCTGCACTCTCAGTCATTTTTCCTCTGCGATGAGATGGTCTTCGGGTCTGCCTCCTTCCTGAGTCACCTAACCCTGCCCTTCTGAGTGTGAACTGCCACAGCAGGACTGGCACTGCCTGTTCTGTCATTGAAGCTCACCCACGGCCCCATCTAGGTAACGTGAGATCAGAGGGGCATTGAGAATCACGTCCTTGTGCATTTAAAACACACCCCCATCAGAGACTATTTTAGCAGATTGGGTGTGTGGCCTGGAAACTTGCATTTCTCCCAGGAGCCTAGGAGGTAGTGATGTTTCTTGCGAATAGCCCAGTGTTGTAGACCTTATGTAAGCAAAGACCAGACAGTCCAGGAGTCACAACTTTGGAACACAAATTGTTTGACAAAGAGCAGCTGCCTGAGGCCTGTGAAAGTGCTGTTCATAGAAGTGTTTTGGAGGCATTAGATACTTCAGCCCCTTCTCAGTCAAGGAATGTTTACACAGCATGAGCTCTGAGCATTAGATACCTGGTCCTACCCAGGAAAATGCGAACTATCCCTCCAGGGTGCCCAGAAGCCTGTGAAACTAGTGGGTGGAGAACTCTCCTGGCATCTTTAGTCCTCCAGGCATTTAGTAGAGCCTAAGCCAGTCAGTCTGTAGAGCTGGGAACCCTAAGAAACCGGACGGGCACCCTTTACTTTAAACTACAGAAGCACAGAGCTGGGATAGTAGAGGGATCTGCTCAGCCAGCCTGTGGCCACCAGGCCTGCAGTCCCAGTACCAGCTCTCACCCTCAGGTGAGATGAGTGACCCCTGGGGGCATCTGAAGTCCCTGAGAAAAGGCACTAGTGAGGCCACAGACACCTGGAATGTTCTTTCAACTCCCCTTCACCTGCCTCTCCTGAACAAAATGGTTCCAGTCAGGCAAGGCCTGGAAGCACTGATCACAGGTCTGCCTTGGCCTCCTGAGAAGGGGCAGGTGAGGGTACTGTCTCCTTTAAGGCAGGTGGGAGCAAGGGGCAATAGAGGGGAGACTCGTGTGTGGGTGTGTGTGTGTGTGTGTGTGTGTGTGTGTGTGTGTGTGTGTTTATGCACCTCAGGACCACCCAGATCCTCCTGGCTTGAGAGGAGCTGGACTTTGTGACAAGTAGCCTGTCTTCAGTCTCCTGTCAACCAGGGGTTTGCTGTGACATGAGGGTCCACCCGACTTCTCAAGGTGGACAGAGCTAAGTGCAGGCAAAGGAAAGAAAGTACCTGAGGAAATGCAACCAGGGAGAAAAGCAAAGAAAACCACCTGCAACAGGGGTGGGCTCCCGAGAGAGCAGGGATCTCACTGGTGTTCGTGGCGTGTTCTCTGCACTTGGAACAGCCCAGCGGATGTTGCTGACCCAACGCCAGCATGAGGCTTCAGGAGAAAATGAGCAGCCACGGGAAAACGCCTCAGACCAAAATGACAACAAGAAGGCACAACTTTTTGTGGGAGCTAAAAGAAAATTGTAGTTTTGAGTTTCAAAATTTGATGGAAAAATTGGAAGATAGTATAACATTGGAAACTACATTGTGGGCTGGAAGGTCAAGTGGAAGGAATCATCGAAACTCAAAATGATGGGACAAAAATGGAAATAGGGCGTAGATGAGAGGTTTAGAGGAGAAGACATAATGGGAGGAGTGCAAGCAATTAGAAAAAAATTGAGGAAATTTTCCAGTTTGAAAAAATACTTAAGACTGCATATTAAAAGGGGCCACTAAGTTCTAGGCAGGAGCTACAAAGGCATACACCCAGGCACACTCTATAAAAACTATTGAATGTCAAGGATAACAATTTTACAACTATCTAGAGCAGTGGTCGGCAAATAGTCAACAGAGCCAAATATCAACAGTACAATGATTGAAATTTCTTTTGAGAGCCAAATTTTTTAAACTTAAACTATATAGGTAGGTACATTGTTATTAACTTAGTTAGGGTACTCCTAAGGCTTAGGAAGAGCCACGCTCAAGGGGCCAAAGAGCCGCATGTGGCTCGCAAGCCACAGTTTGCGGACCATGGATCTAGAGGAATGAATTACTTGCAAGCTAAAAGAGATCAGACTAGTGCACTAGTAACTAGTCACTGTCATCTGTAATGCTGGAAGCTTGGAGTCAGTGACAGCCACAGGCCCTCAGAAGAAAGGATTGTCATAACCAGTTACCCTGAATCCAGCCAGATGGTCCCCTCTCAGGTTGTAGCCTGTAGGGAGTGTTCACAGCTCCCTGTAATCTGTTCACAGGGCTTGGATTTACGTCCACACTGGTGAGTGTGATGCAACAAGTGTCTCCGTTAGGTGGAGGCGGGGCGTGCAGAGGTAGAGTCCCCTATCCAGCCAATAGAAATGGGACCCATCAGCAGCTGGAGCAACTATATCCTGGCATCTTAGGAAACTGACATGGGAGCTCCTTAGAGAAAATCTAACCCGATCATCCCATCTCACAGATGAAGAAATTGAGGCCCATTGAAAAATGACTTGCACAAGGTGGCAGAAGAACTAATTACAAGCAGAGGAAGGACTAGAATCCCTGTCTCTTGACTCCAATTTGGTATTTTTATTACACTTTCCCCCCCTTTCTTTATAGGCAGATATGTTCAACTTTTTACCCCTTTATGTCTATGTGCAGATACATAACTATACATATATTCTTACACCGTGTAATCAAAAAGCACTTACTAAACACATGAAGCAAACCAGACACACCTTGTCCTAACCATTATGGAACTTAGTTTATAAACTAAGCTTTCGAAGGACTGCCATCCTATCAGAAGAGACATCAGCCAGCCTTCCCTTCCTACCGATCACAAACGACATGTCCGTCCATTCCTACCAGATTCGGTAGGAAGTGCCAAAACTGATGTAGCAACTCTATTATAAAAACTCTCCATTCGCCCCGCTCTCTAAATCCCTGCACTTTGCCAGGTGACCCAGCAGTTCCATTCAAGGTGAAGATTATTTCCACACCTCACTGGCGCTGGGCTTGGTCATGTAGCCTGCCTCGGCCAGTGGAATGTGGGTAGAGGTGATGGCACCGTTTCTGAGCCCAGGCTCATATGCTTCTGCTCACCCCTTTTTCACGCCTGCCATTACCACAAGAAAACATGCCCTGGTTAGCCCAAAGGTCCTGGGAGAATAAAAGAAAGCAGAGCAGCGCCCACACCAACTTTGCAGCCTGAGTGATGCACAAGGGCCTGGCTGGTCTGTACGCCTGTGAGCATGATAACTGCCGATTGTGTGCGCCATGGAATCGGGGTGGCTCATTAAGCAGCAGTAGCAAATGAATGCATCAAGCATTCATTCAAGCAAATGAATGCTGGCTCTTCCAGATCCAGCAAAAACTATCCCAAGATCAACCTCCCTTCTTTCAGCCTTCTAAGTCATTGAACCTGATGATGGGCAACCTCAGGGATCTGCAGGTGGGTATGCCATGTCATCAGCGCTGGGGCACACGACTGGCCCACCAAGCGTGGGCTAAGAGGGCCACTAAAGCAATGATACCAAGGAATCTGATTTTTTTTTTAAGCATGGGGTGAGGGGCAGGGAATCAGGACTCTTTGGGGTTTTTACATTTATTGTGCAGTTAATGCTATTTTAGTAAATGCTGTTTTTATTTTGGATTACTGGATGTGAAATGCCCCCCTTTTTATTTTTATTTTTTTTAAGATTCTAGGGCCTTTAAAGGTTATAATCTGGCCTTGGATGAATTATCAAGGTCCCCACCCGCTTCATTTTCTCCATAGCCTCCAAGCCATGCTAGGCCTTTGTGCCACCGGAAAGGGAGGCCACAATGGAAACACAAAGAGAAACAAAACAATTAGAACGTTTTTTAACTTTTAAAGTTCAAGGTCTTGGTGTAAGTACTGCTTTGGAAGAACCGTTGCCTCTCTCCTTCCCACTGAGGCGGAGGGAGGAGTGTACCTCTGGCCTGGGGAGCACAGGAGCC